AACGTTCTGATTAGGACAATTATAAACAATATGCTGCGAAATATCCTATATATATATATACATAATATCTGTAGATCGTATAATATAATCCAGATTGTAGCTTTTTAGTCACCCTATAGCTGGCAAGCTCTTTCTCGATCCTTATTGTTTTCTAACAAAGCACAAAAAAATCCAAATCCCTTCCTCAAGGCTTTTCTGGGATTTTTTCAGAGAAGATAGGCCTGCTCTCCAGGCTCTTTCGGCGGAGCACAAGGAGGAAGGGCGCACCGTTAATGGGCACTTTCAGTGCTCAGTATCCCCCCACCGAATGGTTTAATCCGCGCGTCGTACATTTGCATAGCGTTGCCACGCAGACAAGGGCCGCCAGCCCTTCGGTAAGTTGCATACAAGTATTTCCCAATAAGAACAGACAAAACAAAACTTTTTGCACAGCACTTCTAGCGCCGCAAGACTAATTAACCGGTTCCCCTGACAATTAATGAAAATTCCTAAGTCGACAACGTATCGCGCTATCAATAACGCTGAACTTGAAAATTTAACGATAGTAATAAATAGAGATAATATAAACAATTTAAATAATTTAATTGGAATTGAATTGGAGGTGAAAAATAAGAATTCCTTGATTTTGAAGAGTTTCGAATCCCGCGAAATCAGATCGATCAAATCTTTTTTTTCAGATGATGGAAGGTTTAGACCAATCGCAAGCTAGTTTCCAAGTGTGGGATGATTCGAGCTCGGTGCGATCGGCCACTTTACCAAGGCGACATCGGCGTCAAGCCAGCGGTGACTCCTCGAGTTTATTGGCCAACTCGACGCCAAGAAGCTCTCGAAGGCATCGATCACCGTGCTCTACTCTGCCAAGATCCAAATGCTCAAGCTTGAGCAGATGTACGTCTAGAGCATCTGTTCTACCGCCCAGCACCACCAATCAGGAGGGTTATCAAACGCGTAATCAAACGCAGAACGATAAAAACTCGACGAATTCGTCACCCAGCAGAAGCGGTGGTAGCTCTGGTTCAGTTAGAACAATGAATGCGAGTTTGGCTAAGACGACAACGTTGGGTAGGCCCAACACTAGGCAGTCCAACTCAAGAAGACCGAGTCATGACTTCAGCAACAGTGGCACTAAATCGACCAACGGTTCTCCGCAGCATAAGGTGGATGTAGCTCCGTTATAAATATGTAACAAAATATTTGCATGCGTATATATTTTCTTCTGATAAAAAAAGGTACTCGTAAATATTTCTATCCATTTGAAATGTATCAAAATATTAAACATTTTAATGTTCTTTATATAGCAATTAAATTAATTTTTACAATTTTAACCTTAATTTTTTAATTTTTTTCGCCTTCTTAATTTTTCTTTATAGTCTCTTCAATAAAAAAATTTGTATTTCAAGGTGCTGCAAAAAACTTCGTCGGGTCATTCGTCTCATTCTAGCGGCAAGTCAATTTCCAGCACGAAATTAACTTGTTCGCCATTGAAAACGGCCACACTGTCCACGAAATCGTCACCGCTCAAAGTCGTTCAGCAAGGTTCGCTGACTCCTCTGCAAGAGGCGCAGAACTCGATAACTCTTCAGGTGTCCACCAATCTAAGCCCATCACAGGAGCAACGGACGATACAGAATAGCGTGACGTTGGCCTCCAACACGACTAGTACGACGACTATTTCCGGCTCGCCTGGCACGAAGATCTACGTTCAGCAGAATAACTCACCGATGAGGTCCGTAATCACTTTCGAGAACGGCACGGTGAAGACGAAGATTGCCGAGAAGGAAGTCATCGATTGCAAGGAGAAGCAGGAGAGAGAGCTAGTGGCCGAGAAGGCCTACAAAACCCGGGTGGATGACGAGAAGCTTTTTAAATCGAAACTAGATGACGAGAAGCTGAACAAACCGATCAAGGCCGAGCGTCCGTCGTCACTTTACACGTCGAAAGATCCAAAAACGAGTCTTCTGCTATCGGAATCTGACAAGGAGAACAAACCGAAAGTCGAAGATGAAGTGCCTAACAAACTGAAGCTAACGAACCGCTTGAATAATAGTCAGGCCCACTTGATCGACGCCTCGGCTAATAACGTCGACAAGAACGCTCTGGTACAGGAGGCTGCCGCGTTGTCTACCACGAAGAACACCAACGACGCGATGAACAATTCGCGTAAACTTAGCCTGTCGTTATCGAAGGACGCGCTGAGTTATCGCAATCTACTTCATCCCGGTTCAAAGAATAATATTGCCTCGAACCCGCCGTCACCTACCAAGTCGTATGATGGTTTCGGTGGCTCTTTCAATGACGTATATATCGAGAATCTCGAGACGGTAAAGCAGCAACGAGCTCCTCAGGGCTCCGAGCCCAACTTAGAGAAGACTGTGAGTCGAGGCTCGGATTTGCACTCTTATCCCAGTCTCAGCGACATGCAGGTGCAGTTCACCAGCCTAGCGGCGCAGAAAATCCTCAAGGGCTGCCCGATTAACAGCGTGGATACCTTGGTAGAGGTGAACATGGCGGCCGCCGATAAACCCAACAACTGCGACGTCACCGTTCACACGGATTTTGGCCTTGTTTGAATTTCATTCCTCTCATCATCGATTATTATACCATGAAGGTAGGACAAGGAGCTATTGATCCTTACGTCCTATCTGAACACATTGCGTCCATGAAAAATAACGTGCCTCGAGGCGAGCAGTATCGAAGAAACGTCACTAACGCCTTGCTTCTCATATGTGAGAATAGAGAGCTACTTTTTAAAATTTTTGTTTATTAGTGGAAAAAGGTCACGGCTTGCGTAAGAATATTACACACGGAACAGTTACCAATGATTTGTCGTTTACGTACATTTCTTCTTCTTGTGTCTTTTAACGAACCGTTCATGTTCTTGAACATTCGCTGTGCCAGTTTTATTTATATTACCTATATCTGAACTAATAAGATCAAATTTTCAATCTCGCTTATTAATATTGCTTTGCTTTAAGCTTAAGTCTTAAGCTTATCTCTCAAAAATGTTATTCTGAAATAATTTCTCTGTTATCGGAATTACGGAATATTTTTTATACATTACATTTCATATTAAATTACTTTGTAAACCGTATAATCAAGTAACAAATAAGCAAGACATGTTTTATCTTCACATTTGCACTTAAAATGGAAAAATATTAAACATTGAAACTGCGTTCTATTTTTATTACTAAGGCAAGCGACAATTGCCGTCTAATATTCTCAAAGGTATAGAACCGGCTTGTAGCAACCTGAGCATACAAAATATCTAGCTCTTTTCAAATTTTGAGACATATAGGATACTTTCCAGTAAAAAACACAGATGACACAGTGTAACACAATGAATCATTACATTCTTGTTATTTGCCACTGTTAAACAAAGATGAAATGATCATTGTGTCAATTGTATTACACTGTGTTTCTTGCTGTAAAGCTTTAATATTAACATTTAAATTTAAAGGATGCGAGCACATCGCAACGTTGTAACATCAACAGTTTTGCGTCGCTTTACTCGAGCTAAAGTGATTTGTCAAAACAATAACATTTCTCGTGTACAACGTCACGTGTGACTCACAAGCGAACAAGAATAAATTTTTCCGAATTAAAGCACTGCCACTTTTTTGTTCACATGGAAAGAACAGTTTTGCTAAAGTATTTAAAGATTTAACTAGAGACTTGAGAATAAATTTTGTTGGGATATCAAAATAATATTATATAGAATAGGATATGCTCAAACTAATGATTAGAATGTCAAAACTTTTTACAGCATTGCTCACGAGTTTCCTACATAATAATTTTAATGGTGTAACAAAATTATTTTCAGATTTGTATCTATCTCAATTTTTAGATACTTTAACAAAATTATTCTTTTCATGCATATTTATATTTTGGGCATTTTTCATACTAATTTTCATCGTCAAAAGGAATGACGACAAAAACATTTCCAGGCCTTCGTAGCGAAGTAAAACTAAATGGTACAGCGAAGTTTTGTAGACAGATATGTGTATACGCGATGTGTAGGCAGGGAGATTCTTGTAAAATTCTTTTGAACGATAATAACGTAGTAAACAATGTCGAGTGTTATTACGAGCAATATCGACAAATTAATAGCAATACCGTCCCAGGAAGCGCAGCTAACATAGAAAAAAAATCACGAGGATTGCGATTCTCGTTGCACCGCACACAGCGGAGATTTGATATCAAATATACATATGTTATACATAATGTAGAAGATAGGCGTTTTCTCGGAGAGCGCGGCCGGTACCATTCGCAATTAGTGCAATCGTAAATCTGTAAGTGCCAAAACTTATCATAGTACTTAATAACGACTGCCTTAAGGATTCCGTTCGCATGGCGATTTCGCGGCGCGTTTATCAGTGACGATTTCGGTAAGCGTAAGCAAATGCGCGAAAAGAAAGAAAGAAAGTAACACTATTCGTGAAACCATATAAACTTAGAAAAAAGGTAGGCAATTAAGCGAATACGGCACGAGAGAAGAAAATGAGACATGCCCGCTTTGTACATTTCTTACTCTGTACCGCAGATTAACCGATCGACGTTCGCTCTTTCAAAAATGCCGACTTTTCGCTTACACCTTTAAATCACCTAATTACTGATATTAACGTCGATTAATAATTACTAATCGTACATCAATTAGTTCGCAGAGATCATTATCATAACTTATGAATGTATTGTAATTTGTATGAGTTATAATTGGTTTTTTTATAATGATTTAATATGACTTAAAAATATATAGAATTGTAATTTTTTGAGCAATGATTTTGAACGCGTAAAAAGATCAATATAAAATTATTTAATAAAACCAAAGTAGTATGATATTAAAAATTTGGGTGAGGAGAGTGCTGTAATTGGGGAATTTCTTAAGGGCAAATTAAAAGTTTGATTAACTTAATCAGTGATCAACTTATTAACAGTACAAAATTTCTAATTATATAATATTGTCTCTAATCTTTTGTTATACAATATATTAATAATTCGACAAAATTAATAACTTAACGAAATGATGTTACTTGATACCATTTTGTCAAATTATTAATTTTGTTAAATTATTAACATGTTATTTAAAAAAAAAGATTAGGGACAATTTTGGAATTAGAAATTTTTGTTTCAAACAATTTAACCGATCTGGTATAAATCGCTGATTAAATTAATCGGGACTTAACCGAGATCACCTTTGAGACACGAAAGTCGTATTTTCTCGGGAAAGTCGGCGTCCGCGCGAACGTTTTCGAATCCGCGCCTCTCTTATTTCTTATCAAAACTAACTTGTAGAGTATCATTGTATAATCTTACGTATCATTATAACAACGAAAGTATATGAGTAATAAAAGAGCTGAAAAAGAGCGCAGGCGTCTTATATTATTGCATCGATAACAGACTTACCCTTCCGATCTTCGAAAAATAATTTTATCAGATTACAACCGCCATGACGATCGATGTTCGGCGTCTCGAAAGGGAATCGTCAAAACTTCTTCAGGAAAATCAGCTAATCACATTCTGAAAATCAACAAAATATATTAATTGTAGATTACAAGGAATTTATTCCGATCTGTTATTTATTCCTCCACTAGAATTTTTTTTCTCACTTTAATCGAATATTAAACATATTAAACATATTAATTATATCTATTTCATTTTAAATTTCAAAAATGTAATTCAACTAGAAAGCAGACCTTTCGCCCTCCTTTATGTCCATTTCTAATGTAGTTTCATTTTAATCTTGATTCTATTTCCACAAATGTAGACTTTAATCTCGATTTAATTTACTCTTCATTTTTTCGAATTCTTAGAACTAGAAAAAAAAACAAAAAGTAATCTACGGTAAAAACGGGCATTAGACATATTTCAAATTACTTTCGTTATTTTTAAGCCGCGTTCAGAAACTTTAACCCGAGTATTCTTGTTCCCTAAATATTAAACAAGTATAAATTGATACCTGGATGACTCAGGTGAAATTTCTGTGCAATCATAAGCACATTTGCACGCGCGCGAAGCGCTTCCACTTTTCCTCACCGCGCGCGAAGGATCGTGAATCGTGACTGAAGTGTTTTGTTTTCACACTCCGTGCTGTAATCATATATATCATCCTTGTTGTCTATCCGATTTATCGAATATTAAACAAAGATAAATGATACTTACAAGCGCTGTAAACGCATAACGGAACGTACTTTACAAGAATAATGCAATAGAATAATGCACTCTCCGTCCTTTCCGACACGATCACTGAAGCGTTAGGAGAAAAGAGACAGACAATTCAAATTACGGCTGGAAGGAAAATGGTGGGGGTCAAACAAAATGGTGGGCGCGTTCTCATGAATCTAGACATATCTAGGGAATTCTCAATTGGACGACCAATGAAAATCATTCGTCGAGACGCGTCTCAAGATGTCCCCATCTTATCTCGATTGCAACGGAATTTGGCATTAATTGACGAACATTAAATATCGAGACATTCCGAGACATCGCGGACGGTTGTATCGGAAATCAGGCGTCAATAATAAAAGGGAGGACACTGAATGCTAAAAACGAGTTTAAATTTAAACACCATCAAGAATCACGAGGAATAGCCTTCGCTTTGTCAAAAGTATCCGAATGGTGCGTCTCGACACGTTTAGTGAGATTCTCGGCAAAGTACGGTTCTGGCGCGCAGTTATGGCGACCTAACGCGCGGTTATGGCGACCTAACGCGCGGTTATCGCGGCCGAGCGCGCGTTTTCCTGGGGGCACGAAATCTTTCTGGAACGACGCACTAAAACTTAGAGAACGCCACGATGATGCACAGAAGGGGAGGCAAGCGGATCCGTATGGACGATCCGGTGCCTCCGGAGTATGATACGCCGATGACACCATTGACGCCCATGAATGACAATTCCGGCGGGGACGCGAACGACTCTTACAATGCGTATACACCGTACAATCAGACTCCATCTCAGACTCCGCTGCACAATCCTACGTAAGTATCCAATTAGCGAATTGATGTTATTAAGTTTGTTCCTTGTGGCTGAATTAGTATACATAGTTATGTTATTTGTATACATAGTTATATTATTGAAATAAATAACTTTATCTGCTACGATAATGTCATCTTCTATTTGCTTATAAAAAAAAATAGAAACTGAAGAAAGAAAGAAAGCACTTTAAAAGAATATATTTATATTCCTTCATAATCAGTCAGTTGTTATATCAAAATTGCATATAAGAGATTAATTAATTATTGTATTAACTAATTATTGTATATTTACAGTCCAGAACATTACTCCTCTGAGAGCTACAGTTCGCCAGGTACAACTCAACAGCAATATCAGGAACAATCAGGAAATCTTGATAATCAGACACAATTCGAAGCTCCTGCAACACCAGCAGCTTCTAACATGAGGATTACAAGAAACACACGTGCCAGGATGCGTGGTATATATGAATGTGTATTTTGTCAATATTTACGGACACACCTTGTAACATACAAATAATATGAAAAATTATAATCTTTAACTTTTTAAAGGAGGTGTGGTGCAGCAACCTAAGTACAAAGAAATCGATACGGACTATGTTCCACTATCCACCAGCAAAAGCAAAGGTGGCGGTGGACGAGGACGTAATAAAAGAGCGCACCATCCGCATAGTTTAGAAGATGAAGCTAGTCTTTATTATGTTATTAGAAATAATCGTTCGTCGCTCACTGTAAGTTGATTTATGTATTAATAAGTACACGAAGAAAAGCTGTGTACCAAAATCTTTTACAAAATTATTTGACAGACTATTGTTGATGACTGGATAGAAAAATATAAAAGTAACAGAGAGAACGCCCTTCTTATGTTGATGCAATTTTTTATTAATGCAAGTGGTTGCAAAGGTCGCATTACTTCCGAGATGCAACTGACCATGGAACATGTAGCAATAATTCGCAAGATGACCGAGGAATTTGACGAAGTATGTTTCTCAGATTATAATGCTTAACAGATCAGTAACTTTATCATTATAAAATTTTATTCTGCAGGAAAGTGGTGAATATCCGTTGATAATGACGGGACAACAGTGGAAGAAGTTCCGTGCAAATTTTTGTGAATTCGTTCAAATTCTCGTCCGACAGTGCCAATATTCGATTATTTATGATCAATTTTTAATGGATAATGTTATTTCTTTACTAACTGGGCTGTCAGATTCACAAGTAAGAGCGTTTAGACATACTGCAACGCTTGCAGGTAAATTTCAACGAACTGAGTAACTGTGTTTATAAAATTTTACTATGAACTCCAGAATGTGTATTAATAAAACAATTTGACTTGTAGCCATGAAATTAATGACAGCTTTGGTAGATGTTGCTTTGACTGTATCTATAAATTTGGACAACACGCAACGACAGTATGAAGCAGAGAGACAAAAGGCTCGGGAGAAAAGAGCAGCAGACAGATTGGAATCTTTGATGGCAAAGCGAAAAGAATTGGAAGAGAATATGGACGAAATAAAGAACATGCTTACATACATGTTCAAGTCTGTTTTCGTTCATAGATACAGAGATACCTTGCCGGAAATACGTGCGATTTGTATGGCAGAAATCGGAGTCTGGATGAAGAAGTTTCATCAAAATTTCTTAGATGATTCTTATTTGAAATATATTGGTATATAATATTTTTTTTCACTTTTACACAATGAAAATAAAAGTCATATTATATTTTCGTGTTTGAATTTTGTAGGTTGGACTTTACATGATAAAGTTGGAGAAGTTAGACTAAAATGCTTACAGGCATTACAACCATTGTATGCCTCAGAGGAACTAAAAACGAAACTCGAGTTGTTCACAAGTAAGTTTAAAGACAGAATCGTCGCAATGACGTTAGACAAAGAATACGATGTGGCGGTCCAGGCTGTGAAACTCGTTATCTCAATCTTGAAACATCATAGAGAAATCCTCACTGATAAAGACTGCGAACATGTGTACGAGCTTGTTTATTCCTCGCATCGCGCGGTCGCGCAAGCGGCCGGTGAATTTTTGAACGAACGTTTATTCCGTCTGGACGAAGTAACTATGGCAAGTGTTAAGACCAGACGTGGTAAGAAACGATTACCGAATACGCCACTTATACGTGATCTTGTTCTGTTCTTCATCGAATCTGAGTTACACGAACACGGGGCATATCTAGTTGATTCTCTGATCGAAACTAATCAAATGATGAAGGATTGGGAATGTATGACGGATCTTTTATTGGAGGAGGCTGGTCCCGATGAGGAAGCGTTGGATAATCAAAAAGAAACATCCCTCATTGAATTGATGGTGTGTTGCATAAAACAGGCTGCTACGGGCGAAGCACCAGTCGGCCGTGGACCTACTCGAAAAATTCTGTCAGTGAAAGAACTTAAACAAGTTTACGATGATAAGCAAAAATTGACAGAACATTTTATTCAAACGTTACCACTGTTACTTGATAAGTACAGAGCGGATCCCGAAAAATTGGCAAATTTACTCGCAATCCCGCAATATTTCGATTTAGATATTTATACCAAATCTAGACAGGAAATGAATTTAGACTCTTTATTAAGTAAAATTCACGGGATTGTAGAAAAAATGCATGATACTGAAGTTTTAGATACAGCGTCTAAAACATTGGAACACATGTGCGTGGAAGGTCATGCTATCTTCACTAGGTATGTATATCACTTTTTTCAAATTGTATATATTAAAGCATTCAGTATTCAAATTATTTTCTTATAGGTGTGACGTTGCTCGTTCAACTTTAATTGATTCAATCGTAAATAAATATAAAGAGGCGATCGACGAATATAGAAATTTGATTGAAGGAAATGAGGAGCCAGACGAAGATGAAATATTTAACGTTGTCCAATCACTCAAAAAAGTTTCTATATTTTATTCCTGTCACAATATGAATCCTTGGGGTATATGGGATTCATTGTATAAGGATATTGAAGATGCAAAGGACCCTTCAAAGTAATTTTCCTTATATTTATGAAACTATACAAATATGTTTAAATATATTTTAATTTTAATTGTTTATACGCAGATGCCTACCACCTAAGGCAGTTAAATATTGCATAAGCGCATGCTTCTTCGCTATTTTGTGGGGCGAACATCATTTGATGGAAGCTGTAGACTCTGGTAGTCGTGGCGAGAATGAATGTCGACAGTTGAATGAACGACTGCATTCGTTTATAGGTTTGATGCGCCATTTTGTCAGTGGTGATAGTAGCAGCACGGTAATTATCATTTTTACCCAAATTCGAGAACAAAATCACATTAAATGTTTATAAACATAAAATGTTTTATAAATAATATTTGTAATGTTAAATAGCCGTCATCGCCGATCTTAAGAGAAGTTGCATACAATACCATATGTGATTTATTAGTAGTATTCTGCAACCAATTGACTACCCATACTAATCCCTTGATGCATCAGTTGGTATATGAACCGGATCAAGCAATGCAAAACATGCTCAATAGATTTATACAAGAATATGTCTTCTCCGAAGAGGAAGATGGTGATTGATTATTTTTATTTTTATTTTCCGAACATGCATACAGCGATTTATTTATTATATATCTTAAAATTTATTTTAATTCTTATTTGTATCATAGTGGAAAATAATATCTTTTTTTATATGCGAGACAGTAAGACTAGGAATTAGACTTAGATTTTTTGTTTGATAGGAAAATGTTTTATTATTAGACAGTTCAGTGTTTCAACTAGAGATGAAAATGACCCAATTTGACAATAAATATATAAATAAATATTATCCTGTAAATTATGATAAATTACTCGGTAATTTTTTAAGGCTGATAAAATAGTGATTTAAAAAAATTAAGACAATTAAGTAATTTGATATGAGAGCATTTAGTCATTAACATGAGTCTATGTGTCATACAGACACGTTTTGTTATAATTAAATTATATGTTTAGATTTCGTCAATAGCTCTATTATTAAATCAATGATTTTTATTAGAAGAATGTTATTTTATTTTATACACAAGTAGGAAAATACAGTCTATTTGTACAATACATAACACTATAAAGAAATTTAAAAAAAAACCATATTTACGTGTTATCATGAACAAGTTAAGTAAACATTATCCTATCAATTATTAAAAATGAATTTAATTTTATAAAGAAATTGGCTCAAAAAAGATGGTCCTTTTTTTAAAGATTGTAAACAAAAATAACAAAAATGATATTCGACCACATTAAGGATATATTCTTTTTAGCGATATTATTTGATTAATCAATAAT